ATTTAAGTTTGTTTTTAAAAAATATTTTCAATTTCAAAAATTATTTTCTACTCTAGTAAAAATAAAAGATATTTCTCAAAAATATTTTTCATTCATAAATGAAACACTAAAAACCTTTTTCAGAAAATATTTTCTACTCACCAACCAAACATGAGAAAATAAGTCAAAAATCAACTTGTTTTCCAGGAAAACATTTTCCTTCATATCAAACACACCCTAAATCTGAATTCGCACTAGAAAATCCCTTATTGAACGATAAAACACTCTCTAATAAAAACGATTCTATATATGAAGACCCCTAATTAAGGATAAAGTTATACTTACCACCACAACCATCTTTCTTGGTCATTATATGATTACTCACTTGGTCAACTCCTACAATTCACGGATTACAAACAACACGTTAACACTGAAACAATTCAAATAAAAGTGCTGGCCAAAAAAATGGCTGAGCGGCTATTTTTGAATAACAAAAATAATTAGGTTATTTAAAAATAAAAAGATTTGACCTAATTGAACCTTTTTTTTTTCTGTTTTACTTTTATATGAAGACATTAATGAATTTTTTTAGAAGTTAATGTATTTGTTATCAGAAATCATATTAAAATACTATCTAACACCCTATTAATAAAAGCAGTAGAACATCAACCTACTTCTGCTCTAAGTAATGACTATATTGAAAATATTCAATGAATGAATAGGTATGTAAAACTAGAATTTTCTAATTAACGATCTGCATCCTACAATCTTAATAATAGTCATCCAATTAATCATACGTAAAGCATAAGCTTTGAACATCACTTAACCTGAAATCTAGCGAGCTTAAGAGTTAAAAAATGCTCAAATCATATTAAAGCGATCACTCATCCCTTAAGTCTAGCAATGTGAAACTCTTCTGTCACATCCATTACGACACGACATTTGGAGCTTGAACAATTGAATATGGGCTCCAACATCAAAATACTAAAATATTTAAGATGGGTCTTGTTCTAATATCATATATAATGAAATAAATCTTGGGCTGGATTCAATCCACAAAACTAGCTCAATAAATGAGAATTGTACGAATAATATTAAAATGATAGTATAGGTATGAAAGTCACGCTCGATGTTTTTTAACACTACTTAACTCATTAGTATACAACAACCGACATGTAATCAACGTAGAGTAAGTGTGAAGCTGAACTGTACTAATATAGTTTTCAACTACGTACACCCATGTTGCAGTTGCAGAGCAAGTTGAAGTTGAAACGTATGTACATGGTCATGAGAAAATTCAATTTTCAACTACCACCAATTTAATTGCTTAATTACGCATGTTGCATGCTTATTCCCTTTTATTACTCTATATATATTAGATAGTATATATATTTCATACCTTGTAATGTGCTACTCTCTATTATCTAAAAATCATGGCTTGCAGAAACATAGTGTCAATTGTTTCAACCATGCAGACACAGAAACTTTATCATACTAAAGAAAAAAAAAGTCATCCTGAAAAGATTTCTACTTATAAACCAAACAATTGGAAATATGATCATCTACTTTCTCTTACAAGTCAATATTCTGTGAGTATATATTCATAAGTCATTTAATTATTACCTACGTACGTACTTTAATTTCATAGTTAGTATTACATTTGGTCGTGCAGGAAGAGAAGTACAAAGTTAAAGCAGAGAAGCTAAAAGAGGAAGTGTGTTGTACGTTTTCAGACACTCATGCTAGTCCAGTGGTTCAGCTAGAGCTTATAGATACAATTGACAAACTTGGCCTAACTAGTTACTTTGAGGTTGAAATACAAAAAGCTTTGGAAAATACAATTATCTACTCCATGAAAAGTAGTTCCAATCACTATGCTACTACTGCTTTGTGCTTCAGGCAGCTTCTTACTGAACATGGCTACAATGCTTCACAAGGTATAGATATTCGATCATTTGAGAAATTAACTCTTTTAAGTTGAACATTTTCCTATTTCCACTCTTTACTCTTTTTAATTTGTTGTATTACTGCAGATATGTTAAAGGATTTGTTGCATGGGAAAGGGAAATTACCTTCAGATATTAAAACATTATTGGAGCTTTTTGAAGGGTCACATCTTAGCATGGATGGTGAAAAATTACTAAATAATGACATAAGATTATTGTCAGATATAGTTGACAGATTTACTAGTAATCCCTTGGCATGGAGAGTGAGATGGTACGATGTTAGAACACACATTATTAATACTACTCAAAATTCCAACAACACAAATATTCCAATGTTGCTCAAATTAGCTAAACTTAACTTTAATATCATTCAAGCCACGCACCAAAATGATCTCAAAGATGTAATAAGGTAAGTAGTAAGTACTCCTATATTAAAATCATTTTCTTTTTTCGATCGATCACCTCAATTATTTTATCGAATATTATTTGTTTTTGTGAATTAAACAGATGGTGGAGGAATCTTTGCATAGTTGAAGATTTAGAGTTTACAAGGGACAGAATAGTAGAAAGCTTCTTTTACGCTGTAGGAATAGCGTCAGAAGCTCAACATGGAAGCATTAGAAAATGGATAACCAAAGTGATTCAATTAGTGCTAATAATAGATGATGTTTATGATATTTATGCTTCTTTAGCCGACGTGCAACAATTCACCCGTGCCATAGAGAAGTAGGTCCTCACAACATTTAATTTGATACAAGTTAATTAAAAATCATTTAAGTTTTTAATTATAATCATTAAAAACAAGTTTAATTTTGACATTAAATTAATTAGATGGGACCCAAATGAAGTAGAGCAGCTACCAGAGTGTATGCAGATCTGTTTTAGGGCGTTGCATGCTACCATGGAAGAGATTTGTGTTGAAATTCAAGAACAAAAGGGTGGCCCTTCAACATTACCTTATCTGAAACAAGGGGTAAGTACTAATTCTAAACTAGTATTTTTCTTTCACATGTAACATATGTTCTGGATAATGCTTGTAAAAAAATAAATTGTAGTTTTGGAATATAATTCAGATACACACCACGTAAAATACCAAGAACAGAGGAAGATCTGAATTATAGTTAAGTTTACGAGTTTTGAAATTTAGAAATTGACAACAATATATAGGCCATGGGTAGTTTTTTTTTTTTTTTTTTTTTGGGGGGGGGGGTTGAAGGGGGTAGGTTATTTATACATATTAATTAGATTTTAAAATATATACTTCCTCTGTCTCAATTTATGTGACACTTTTCATTTTTTGAGAGTCAAACCATTTAAGTTTGACCGGAAATTTGCACGTGGAATCTTTAATTTTTTGAATTGAAATTTATATATTTGTAAACTACTTAAAAAGTACTATAAGTCACAATAATTGACAATTCAAAATAATTAAAGATATATAAAAAATTTATGATAAAAAATAAATTTATTTGAATCTCAAAATTATTTGGACTGAGGGAGGATATATAATCTAAATTAAAGTTGTTAAGACTTCTTTCCCTTTTGCATGTCTAACACATTCTCATTAATTTTATACATGATTTTTTCATGCATGTTTGAGGAAAGTCTCTGATATTGTTTGTTTCAATAATTGATCAGTGGGTCAACTTTTGTAAAGCCTTGCTGGTGGAAGCAACGTGGCATTATGAAGGTCATATACCAACACTTGAAGATTATCTTGATAATGGGTGGATCTCATCATCCGGTTCATTATTTTCTTTTCATGTGATATATTGTATGACAAATAAAATAACAAATGAAAATCTTGATTTATGCAAAAATTGCCAAGAAATTATTTACCACGTCTCGATCATAATTCGACTTTGCAATGACCAAGGTACCTCAACGGTAATACCTCAAACTCTTAATTTTATCATTCTATTCTAATAAAAAATTTCATCCGTTATATATAATTTTTTTCGTAACATTTGAATAATGTAGGCGGAGCTAGAGAGAGGTGACGTTGCTTCATCAATTATATGTTACATGCAACAAGAAAATGTGTCAGAAGATGTAGCCAGAGAATATATCAAAAGCATAATTTTGGATTCGTGGAAGAAGATTAATTACCATTTTAATAAGCTTTCTACATCACATCGAAAAATTGTTAATCATGTAATAAATGGAGCACGAATGGCACATCTCATGTACCATTCTGGAGATGGATTTGGGGTTCAAGATGGAGAAACTCGACACCAGATCCTTCTCAACTTGGTTCAACCTATTACATAATTGCAGAGACAATTAATCGTTATCTGGACTTCTAGAATCTGTTGTTATGTGTATCAATAAGAAGATAAAAAGAAGTTTTGTATACTAAGATCTCGTTATATACACTATGATTAAGTTAAAAATTATTTTACATTATTATGAGTATCATTTCAAGACTCCAAAAGTTTAATAATTTTAATACCAACAATAATTTCACGGTACGGCCTATATGCAAGAGAAATGTTGAAATAGGATAGGTTCTCACTTCTCTCATCAAGTCAAGTAGATTTCATAATTACAAAAGTTAAGGTGACTTACATTACAATAAATTATTTATATATGTTAAGTGAATTCCTAATACAAATATAAAATTTAAATCAAAATTATTGAATTTTACAAAACTAATAAATAGAATTATAGCTCCGAAGATACAAAGAGTATGCTTGGCATTACTTCTAAAAGTTGTCTTATTTTTAGAATTACTTTTTTAAAATATATTTTCAGAAAAGTGTTTTTGAAAAAAAAGTAATTTGTGTTTGGCTAGTTCATTTGAAAAATGTTTTTGATAAGCAAATTGTGTCTGACTAATATTTTTTAAAGAATACTTTTGAGAGTCAATTTATGAAAATGGGCAAGTATCAATGCGCTTTTAATATTAAGTTTATTTTATAGAGATACATTATTTTCTATTATAAAATTTTAATTAATTTTTTATTATTATTGAATTAAGATGTACACATTCAAATTTTGAATCAATATTATACATAGATGAATACAAAATAAATTAAATATCGATATAATATTAACATGATGATTAAAATATAATTAAAAATATCAAGCAAAATAAATTTAAAATCATTCCACAAATTAAATCACGATATACAAAATTCACAACAAAAACTAATAAGTATAAGAGATTTATTGACAAATATGTATATACGGTAGGATATTTTGGTCTTGATATAAATAATTTTTTATTTCTGCTTTTCCTTTTTGTAAGAACCAATTTTTTTTTTTTGCTTCGTTTCAACCGTAGAAAAACTACTGCTACTTTTATTTAAAAGCGGTTTTAGTAATTAGCCAAACACCTTATTATCCTAAAAAATACTTCCACCATTCTTTTTTATATGTCATCTCTTTCTATAAATAGTTGATCCATAATATTTGTCATTTCATAAAATCAATGTATAAATTACCATATTATTCCTTTTTTACCCTTGTGAGTTATTAGCCTTGAAAATATACATTTGACCAACTTAGAAAAGCTAAGTAAATGATTCATGTTCATTGGTTAAATTAATGAATCAAAATATATTAATTCATATTCATTGATTGAAAACTTGAGCTCCAAAAAAAAGAGAGGGTAGAATAGTAAACTTACTTAGTTTTTTAATGCACGTAAAATCTAAAATGATGACATATAAATGAGAATGAAAAAAATATTTTTTTTTCTTCAAAATAAATGATTTTCGCCTCAAAAACAGGTGTAAACAGGCAGTAAGTACGACAATTGTTTAACGGATCTAGAAAGTGGCCTTTTGTGGGGGTATTCGATGGTCACATGTTAATTACAAGCAAATTTTATAAGGAATATCCATAAAATGTATAAGGCCACAACAACCTTTTAACACACACCAGAAAAACGCATGGGACAAGTCACAATAATTTGACAACAACTTTTTACATTTGAATTGTTCTTTTTTTCCTTTTCTAAGGACCACAAAATATACAAACAAGAGGAATGGCTAAGAGTCAATATCAATATAATTCTTTTTCTCGATCCTAACTAGTACTTAGTTCTTTCCGAAAAAATAAATACTAATGCAAGTTCAATGTACCAATCGATAGTTGAGACAAAGTTGTTAAAACTATGACCAGGGGAATTACGTAGTTGAGTTTTGAAGGACAATAAACTAAACATCCACACAATAGCTTTTTCCAAATCGAAGACTCCAAGAGGTACAAGATGACTTACAAAGATCTTCAAAGCTGAATGCAAAGCTCACACCCTCTTGGGAGCTTGACAAGAATTCTTACCGGGTAGTACACCTACAAAAAGAAAGAGTGAGATTATCAAAAGAATAATAGGAAGAAGTACCGGAAAATGGAACCCAAACCTTTGACAGCTGAATTTTTCAGCATTCTTCAACATTGAAGAGCATCAAGGGAACATGGCTGCGGACAGAGATGCAGAAATGGAGAACTGGAAAAAGTGGAAAGAGAAGAAGGATCAAATTAGGAAACTCTAATTGAGCGGGTCCCGGTTTTGGGCCAACAATGTACTATTTTTCTTTGTTTTGTTTGAACTTTTAGCCCATTAAGGTATTAATAAAAGGACTTCAAGTCCAAAAATAAAAAAAAAAGAAGACTCCAAATTTGTTTTCCTTCTTTTTTTCCTCTTACTTAAACAATTTACAAGATTAAATGTTGAGTTTAACTAATATTCATCGACGATGTAATTGTGTTTATATTTTATTACATGGTCAGGTAATATTGAAGCCTACATATAAATTCTTAAGTATTTTTACTTTTTAAAATTTGAATTACATTTAAAAATATAGCAGTAATAGAAAGAAACTAGGACTTTACATTTAATATACCCAAACGACACTACAGAAAAACGAAAATATTGCGGCGGTTTAATTACGGCTGTTTCCAAGAACGGCCGCAAATATAAAATAATACGACGGTTTATAATATGTCATTTTAATATTTTAGTAGCGGCGGTTCGGACTTAAATAACGACAGTTTGAACCTCCACTAATATTTTTAAAAATTTAAAATTTACCCAACAAAATTATTATATCCTTTGATTTACTCATTTATTTATTAAAGTAGTATAATTTGTCCAACTATATTTATTACCATCTTTCCTTACATTTAAATTTTCTCATCTATTTAGTATATTTAATTATTATTCTCCTTTCCTTAATAATTATAAACTATTATAATATTAAATATTTATTACTCAAATGCAAAAAAAAAAAAACAATTTGCCTAATGACAGCCATTTAAATTGCTAATTACTGAAATTATTTTATTCTTATTTCCTTATTTACTTCCTTAGTTCCTTACTTCAAAGCATTTATGTTCCGTAGCTGAAGGATATTGAGCTCTCAATCACTCAATAAATCAAGCTCAAATCACGGTAAGCTCTCAATTCACTTTAAATAACACTCAATTCACTGTAAATTTTCAATGTAAGCTCTCAAACCTTAACCAATTGTAAGTTTTTGGAGTGAATCTGAATTTTTTCTGTAGAGATTTGTTAGGGCTTTTAATTGTTGTTATATTTTCGTATTATTCAATAGAGATAAGTTAGGGCTTTTAATTGTTGTTATATTTTCGTATTATTCAATAGAGATAAGTTAGGGCTTTTAATTGTTGTTATATTTCTGTACAATTCTGTAGAGATTTGTTAGGGCTTTTAATTGTTGTTATATTTCTGTACAATTCTGTAGAGATTTGTTAGGGCTTTTAATTGTTGTTATATTTTCGTATTATTCAATAGAGATAAGTTAGGGCTTTTAATTGTTGTTATATTTCTGTACAATTCTGTAGAGATTTGTTAGGGCTTTTAATTGTTGTTATATTTTCGTATTATTCTGTAGAGATATGTTAGGGCTTTTAATTGTTGTTATATTTCTGTACAATTCTGTAGAGATTTGTTAGGGCTTTTAATTGTTGTTATTTTTCTGTATTATTCTGTAGAGATTTGTTTGGGGTTTTACTTTTTGTTATATTTCTGTACAATTCTGTAGAGATTTGTTAGGGGTTTTAATTTTTGTTATAGTTCTATCTTATTCTGTAGAGATTTGTTGTTATAGTTTGATTTTGCATGTTATAGTTTAGTTGTAGTCCAAAGAGGAGCCTTACAAAAATACTGAAGTTATGATCTAGAGTTCACTTTCTTTTCCAGTTTCGAACCTTAGAGTTCACTTTCTTTACATTTTTGAGTCACTTTAAGATCATAAATAGACATTTCTAGCTTGCATATGTAATTAGTGTGATTAGGGTAAGCAAAACCTGGTGGTTGAACCATTGTATACATCCTCCTTTAGCTTACCATGCAAGCACGCGTTAGAGATATCAAGTTGATTAACAATCCATCCTTACGACACGACAATAGAAAGTAATAGTCGAATAGTTGTAGGTTTGACAACAGGACTGAAAGTATCAACAAAGTCAATTCCAAGGCGTTTATGCAAGCCCTTGACAACTAATTTGGCGTTATGTCGTTCAATGGAGCCATCTGAATTTTTCTTTGTCTTGAAAATCCATTTACAACCAATTACATTCATAGCTTGATGAAGTGGAACCAACTTCCATGTACCAGTTGCTATGAGCGCATTACATTCTACGAACATAACATATCTCTATTTAGGAATTTTAATAGCCTGAGCATAACATGTTGGATCAAGACCAAGGCTAGAGGAGTTGAAGAAGGACTAGATACACTTGGGCTTAATATTTCTAGCTTGCGCTCGTGTATGATACGTCCAAACTTACACTCCAAGTAATTTGGAGTGTAACGGTCGTTGTCAATTTACAGAACTCAACTAGAGTTGAGGTCGATCCCACAGAGAATTTCTTTACAGATAAAGTTTCACTAGCACATTTACTCAATTGTCGTTACTATTTCCTAAACAATTAACAAGGAAAGTAAAATTTGGTTTAGTTGAAAAGTATTCTATCAGCAAGTACTTCCAGTCAAAACTTAGTTACACGGTTCACAAAAGATCTCGTTGTAAGTTGATTCAATCAATTTAAAGAAATCAGGTTTTGTGTTCACTATGACATCGATTATAACGCTCTTCCGTAAATTGAGTATCAAGTAAATCAATGTTTACAGACTCTTTGCGACTTAAATAAATCTAAACGTTTCTCAGCCTAATTAGATAATATTCACTCTAATTCTCTCGAACTTAAAGTGTTATCGATATTGGACTTCGCTTAATTTGATACGGTGTTAAAGATCCCTTCTCTCGAAATCCGACAAACACCAAATACAGACCTGTTTAAAGCG